CTATTTTGTCTGCTTAATATTCGCGATGAAAACCAAGAAAATCAAAGCAAACATTTGTACTTATTTTCCATTAGGTCCGGTTTTGCTCCATCTCCGAAAGTACTTCCAGCCAGCGATGTTCTTCATCTTTGATCCCCCAGCCCGGATAACGCACAGGACCTACGACAGCTAAACTGGAGTTTAGCGCTTTAATCGTTTGTCGCCACGTGATAAGCTGACCACCGTGCGATTTCTTCCAGCCTGGTCCTGCGCAAGCGAAGAGCGCGTGTCGGGGAAACCGTTCGAGTGGCATGCGTAAAACGTGGCCCAAACATCTCAGTTGGCGTAGCGGTACCAGTCTGTCAAGTGGAAGTCCCTTGTTACTCAAGACGTAACGTCTAACATCATCGTTGCGCACGTGGTTCATCCAAAACACTCGAGCTATTCTCCGCAGACATACATTGTCAAAGGCCGAAATTCGACGAAACTTATTCATACGAATCGGTAAGGACTCACTTCCACACAGCAGCACCGCGCGAACACAGGCATTGTGGACCCTGCCCTTTATAAGTAGTGAAAATTCACGGTGTCGCCACACATGTCTCAATTTGACGAATGCCGAACGGGCTTTGACAATTCGGAGTGAAATCTCTTTTACAATGCCACCATAAGCAGAGACACAACTTCCCAGGGAAACAAACTTGTCCACTTGTACAAGCTGCTTACATTGAGGAGTGAGCAGTGGGGCAGATGGATGACAATCCAGAACCAGGACTTTGCAACTCGGGGGAGCAAAGGTTATTCCATATGGTAATGCTTCAATTGCCAAGCGGTTTAGAACGGCTTGTGTGCACTGTGCGTTAGCACCAAACAAGACTATATCATCAGCATAATCTAAATCGGTCACGCGGTTGCCAGGACGAAGCTCTACACCAGAACCCAGAAAGGTCTTGAGAGTGTTTAAATGGACATGCTCGATCGAGAAACTGAAGGGAAACTGGGACATGTGGCAAGCCTGTTGTACACAGCTAGTGACGGCGAAAGGTGAAGAGTTTACCACAAGACCTCACTTAGAGCAAGACTAAGCAATATAATTCTCGAGAGATGGCGATAATCGTCTCGGATACTCCATTCCTTTGTAAGCAAATTCATAAATTTGGTCGATCGATGGAGTCGAAAGCTGCTCGGATATCCAGGAGAACCACAATAGTGGGTTGGCAATAAAGATGACGCGTTTCAAGCAGTTGGCGGGGCGTAAACAAGTTGGCTATACACCCTCGACCGGGGCGGAAACCAGCTTGTTCTTCACGTGAGCGCAAATCTAGAAACGGGGTTAGCCTGCGGAGTAGAATGGATGTTAACAGCTTGGAAGCAACGGATATTAGACCGATTCCTCATTGGTTAGCGCATAAGCTACCGGCACATTTCTTGAAGATTTGCACGATAACTGGCTCGCTCCAAGCGGATAGAACTATTTCTTCAAACCAAATCTTGGAGAACAGAGCTTTTAGCTGGTTGACACTTACTTCGCCCCCGAACTGGAACAGTTCTGGAAGAAGTACGTTTGGGCCAGTAAACTTGACTCGCTTCAAGTGTCGAAGCTCAAGGCAGACCTCAGCTTCAGTACGTGGTTCCAATGAGACGTTCCAAGGCGCGTAACTAGATATACTCAATAGGCTTGCCGGCGCAGGAGGCCAGCTGAATTAAGTGTGGAATTGTTCAGCCCAGCGGTCCATACGCTTGTGTAAGTTGCTTATCGGCCTTCCGCCAACCTCTCAGATGACCTCATTGACACCAGGTCTTTTGAGACCACTGGCCCGAATGACCTGGAAGAAGTTGCGAAAGTTTCCAGAGAGGGTTGCAGGTTCAATCTATGTGGCATGCTGGAACCATCAAGTTTCGCGATCAACACGCAGGCTTTGCTTAAGTTGTTGGCTGAGAATGCGACGCAGTACACTGCCATTTGAATCGGTCAGGATATCTTTACGACGATCAAACAGTTCCATTGAGTGTGCGGATATGAAGCCCCTCAGAGGGCGCCCTGTGATTCCACAGGTAGAATCACTGGAAGTTGGAAGTGCTTCACGCAGGAAACACCAATGATTTTCGATATCTCGAGGTGGAGCACCAATAAATGCATTCGATAAGGAAGCTTGATAAATTGATTGTGTGGAGAGGTCAGGTAATTTGTTGGTGTCGAGCGTATGGAGGTCTCGTTTTGAGGAGCCGCCGAAGCGTATGCAGATGTCCCCGCGGACCAAGGCATAATCTGAATCGAGGTATGTAGACCAAATCGATCTCAACTCCGTTCGCTGCCTCGTCATCTAAAGTTGATTGCAATGTGATCTATTTGTGACCACGTTTGCTTTGGTGAAGGAGGACGCCAGGTGGCTGCGCGTCTTCTGGTATGCCTAAAGTTCGTACCTGAGCGAAAGAGACGGTGGTCTTCGCATAACATAAGAGATCTACCACCGTTGTCACAACGGCTCTCATCAAGCGCAGGACTGCCACCAAGATGACGTTCGTACGGAAGCAGGCGACCTACTCATGCAATGAGATCTCCAGCAAGGACGATGACATCTAACTTTTCGGCCTTGTTCAAAAGGTTGTGGAGACCACGAGAAAAGTCATCATTAACCGATGCACAGCTCCAGTCGGTTGGAGCGTAGGCAGAAACGACAAACAAATTGCGCCTCTCTTCACGATATGTGTTGATTCTACAGGAACCTTGAAGCCGAACTGCAAACAGCCGGCTGTCGATCGGAAACCAATCGAGTAATGCCTTCTCCGTTTTGTAACTCAATGCGATATCTACACCAGCTAAGTCGGCTGTTTCTGCCTTCATGTCACTAGACAGACGTAGGTAATATTTGCTCTCAAGAACAGCTTGGGGACGAAAACGTAACCACGGTGCTGTGATCCTGCAATCGAGTCTCTGAAAGGCAACAAACAACGATGGCGAAGGACTCTAGTGCGCGCCAGGCCAGCCTGTTGTCCAATCTGTAGGAGGGTCCAAACGTTGAACGCGGCCAGATGGAATGAAGTACGGGATCGAAGCATAGCTGATAGCAGGATGATTTGAATATCAGCGAGACGGGCCTTGGAAATAAATACAACAGGTCGTGGATTAACAACAAGAGGAAACTTGGCGTGTGATGGAGAAGCAAGAGTAGTAGCGAATGTAGCAGCAGAAGTTAGCGACGTATTAGTAATTGCGAAATCCATAGTTTTCACAGAGGGCACGATACTACTCGGTTGCACAGGCCGATGTAGTGGATTGTCTTATGACACTCCGTCCCGAGCCTTTGGGCTTAATAACCTACTCACAAGGCAGCGGAACGAATTTATTAATCACACGGAGCAGTTGGACCTAATCAGCTGACGCTGGAGTGGCCGTTGATGGGATCTACTTGGATTTTCCAAACGTATTCGATTGTTTAGATTATCGGTTTCTCCTTTTTAAGTGGGCTCGGTGACCCTCCTTTGAACTGGAGCGTCAGTTTTCTCCTGCAACAACGATTAGTGGTCAGAGTCTGGAGTTCCTTATCTGACCCCATACCAGCCGATTCTGTTGTCCCCTATGACACAGTTCTGTGGCCACGACTTTTTCGTATTCGTCAATGACCATGCGCAGACAATCGCGACAGATTTCTTACTATTTGCTGACGATATCAAGATATCAGGCGGATGCCGATCAGAATTTAGTGCAGTGTGACCTAGATATGGTACACGAGTAGTGAACCCGAAATCTGTTACAGTTCAACTTGGACAAATACAAGATAATCTCCAAGCGACTCTAGAGTACCTATACGCATTCGCTAGAAACGCAAGTACTGCAGCAATCATCCGTTGAACGAGACCCTGGCAAAGACATCGGAAACTGGTAACTAGCACCTCGACTTTCTACGACGGGCGTTGGGACAAATAGACACCTCTATTTTCAATCCGATGGTGAAGGCTTATGTGGCCTACATGTCAACAACGCAATTTAAGCCTGAAGCACGACCTTACTGCAGTGGACAAATTTCAAGGTCGGGCTTCCAATTACGTCAGTGGAATGCGCCACCTTCCGTACGAGCAGAGGCTGAAACGATTGGGAGTATTCAGCGGGCGGTATCATCGATCATGAGGCGATTGCATTATGGCATGATTGATTTTACACAGTCCAAATCATGTGTGCCGCTCTTTACTGCAACTCAGCAGTATCACCAAGCTACGAGGCAACTCTTTGAAATGAACAAAAAGGTTCAGCCGTCTGGCATGCCGTAGAAACTTCCTTTCCATTCGCGTGGGTCAAACGGAACGCTCTCTCCGTATCCGTTTCTTCTGCACACATGCTAGACATATTTACAATTCAGTTGGATAACGTACTCTGCCACTTACATTTGTTAATTGACTCTACTCTCTAACCTACTCCGGGAAAATTGCTTGGATTTATTATTTTTGCCTACTAAATCTATGGAGACATTCGGAGTGCAGGGCTACAGTAAGACATACGATAAGTACATTCTTTTGACAGTAAAAATACTAACTACTTTTTTATTAAAGTTATTTGATAAGCTGCCAGACCTCCCAAGGAGATTTGTAAAGCGGTGCTTTTAACCCGTATAAAATCATTGTTCATGGTTCATTACGCTTTTTGCATCCAACTGAAAACATTCCATGCGGATTACCTCTACGGCGTCCTCTAACTTCTACATCCCGGCATAACAGCATCATTATATTGCGAAGAGACTGCGCAACACGACGCATTCGGTCCTAATTAGATTTAATAAGTTGGCAATTTCAGGACTCGAACCCAGGGCCATTGGACTGTATCTGTATCCGTTTAGCAAACGAGTGATGAGGGGTAACACTTGGCACAACCGGAAACGCAACCATCAACTATATAACCACATGCAGAGTTAAATGAATTGAATCGCTAGCAATATTTCAAGGTACCTAGTTGTGAAATTGAACTATTTGTAAAGAAAAATCTTTCCAGACAATACGAGTACCAGACAAATACGAGAAACACTCACTCGAATAAACAGTTCTGATATGCTTTCGCAAACTGCCATAACCAGAAAACGATTGGTTACAATGTTCACACGTATAAAGATGTTGATCTGCAATCGGAAACCGAAGCCATCAGTTACAGGTGAATCGCGCAGAGAATCGGACAAAGAATAACAACTGATTGACTAAAATGGGTTGGTCCAATTGCAATATAATAAAGACAAAATGATAGCAAGGAAATTAGCGGAATCTCGAACACTAGCTCGTGTTATTTGCTAACTTGCAAACTGACCACTATTGCGGATCATGTGAGAGGAGTAAACCGTCGTTATACAGTGGCTAAGGAAAGGAAAGCGCACCGAAGCAAGACGAACGATATTTGCGTTGTGGTAAATGTCATGAACCCCAAGGAAGTCTTAGGATTATCGTCAGTGGCTTTGCGCAAAAACATAGACAGTGACCATTAACGGTCACGGCCACGGCAAACGTAAGCACCCCGGCGTTTTCGATTGGGCAGACAACAGTAAACGTTGAGTGACGGTCAACCGGAAGACCGGTACATATTAGGTGTCTAGTGATGGATGAGACTGGCGGTTTGCCTGCTGCTCCTTGTCCGATTGCCTGTTACGCCATCAACTTAACAAACTCCTTCGGAATATAATCTGACTTTCGATTACCCAGACGATGACCTGTTCTGTTAATATAACCACTCTCATGGAGAGAGAATAATCAGTATAATCAATGGGTAATGACGCAGAGAGGATGAGCCGGTGCGACCAATATCATCGGCAGTTTTCCGGTCGTCCAAATGGGACAGAATTTAGAAGCGCTGTATGTACGACGACTAACTGTGTTCAACCATCTTTCAAGTCGCGCCGTTACGACATCACGGATGTAGAGTAACTGTAGATAGACAAGCATTTTAGACGCGGTAGTTTCTCCTGGTTTGTTTTAATGCAGGTGAAAGTGAAATCTTATGAATGCAACTGCATATCCATTGACCGCAATGTCTGTGTGAGGCAGGACAATTTCGACTCAATGCAGTCGGCGTTGCATATTCTATGGGCTCGATCAAAACTGCATCTTGACAAGCCAACGATAGTATTGGACCAGCTAAAGCTATTGCTGTTCTCATGCAGCCCAGTGCATGTGGATGTCTCGTAAAACAAGCACCATATCGAGCCATCTTCTCGTCTGGACAACACTACATACAGAAAGACCAGTCAACTATTGTTTTGTAGTTAACAGATGAGACGATCGTTGAGACTGGAACGGTTGAGCACAGTGAGAACAGAATGAGCGTATCCTCACTTGGAGCAACCACAAGTGTGGCGGCGGTGGGTCCTTCCAATTCTGCCGTTGCTGTTCTCGTTGAATTATTTTACACCATAGACTGCAGATACTTTATTTTATTTTTAACTTTGAAATAATTTGTTTTCTCTGATCCGGTCTCAAGCCCAATGTTGTCCTACTCCGTCAACCATTTGAACATGTTACCAGTTATTGCCTTAAGTCCGTGTTTTATCGAATACGGCCATAAACTCAGGAACACTTGCAAACGTATTACGAATAAATGTCTTGGAAAACTCGCAAGCATCATGCTGGCTGGCGATCTGGCCTCAGTCACTGTTCTGTCGACAAAGCGCAAGTCCCACTGATACTTTCCAGTGATGTTCGCTCTCACCTTGGTAAGATCAGTGATCACCATGCCATTATGCAGCCAAATGAGTATGTTAATACAGAAATCATTCTGTTGCAAGAAAGCTGGTTACATGCTGATGTGGAAAATGGGGAATTCAACGCGATGGCTATTTTCCTATCAGATCTGATCGCTCCGAAAAGCCACAGTTTCGTGGTGGTAGCGTTATAACTTATGTTAATCTAAGTTAGTGCAATGCAGCAATCACAATATTTACGTACGCAACGATTTTTAAAAGCTACCGTCTAGTTAAGTGCAAACCGAAATTCCTATGTGGCTTTCGATCAGTTATCGTTGGAAACAAATACATTGCTCCTGCCACATCTGCACCGGAGTTAAAGCATTTTGAACATCACATTTCTTCAACGATACTACTTAAATTAGATCGTTCTATCTGTATTGTTGCTGGCGACTTCAATAGAAAGGATACAACATGCTTGAAGACACTTAGAAATATAGACCTAGTGACGGTTTCGACCAGACAATATGTCCAGTTGGACTCTGTGTTCACAAATAAAAGACAGTTGTTTGTCATACCAAAGCGGGCTCCTTTGAGCAGCTTAGGCCATCGTAGTTTAATACGGTGTCCATTCATATACAGCTGGGCTAACATTTTAACGCTGACCAGACCTCTTTACAAGAGTACCAAACGGCGAAATTGCTCCTTGGAAAACATCACGAGGCACCAGACTATGTTTTCTTTAACTGCTTTTTCGGTCTTCAACGACGAGGACCTGTCGCTCGAATGTGACCATCTTACGGACTACATCAAATATTGCTTTGACATGTGTTGCCCAGTTGAAACCATCTATCTAAGAGCAGATAGATTTTCATCACCACTATTAAAGCGATTCCGAAGGATGAAAGCATGGGCCTCCAAGTGCAAGAATGCTACTCGTGTCAAAAGCTAAACCACGACAAGTAAATACGAGATAACAAGACTTAACCAATTATACCTCGAGGCAGTTCTAAGCAACCAAAACTGTCGCGATCTCTGGGGGCTTCTGAGGCAGCCCTGTGGTAAGAGTGTTTTCAGCCACAGAGGTGAAGGGGATGTGGATAAACTGAATTCGGAGTTTTGTTCCGCCTCATTAAACTCATCTTCCTTGCTTTCCTTCATTAGGACAATTCCAGCAGCGCCATTCGATCAAAGCAACGTCAACAAGGAACTCAAAAGATTAAAGGCAACCAAAGCTTGTGATCCGGATGCTCTCTCACCATTAGCTTTGAAGGAATGTGCTAATTCTCTTACACTGCCTCTAATGCACCACTTTAACAAATGCCTCACTACGGGTGTGATCCCGGACATTTGGAGAACGGCCAGTATCACTCCAGTACCAAAAACTGGATCTCAAAAGAATCGCCCAATTGGATATACATCTGTGCTCGTAAAAGTTTTTGAAAGACTGTTAATTCCGCGGATTTTTCCAGCCGCTCCTGAAGACGATATCTACCAGTTTGCGTATAGACCTCAGCACTCCACATTGGATGCAGTGGCATATATTGTTCATTCTATAGCCTCTGCATTAGATCAGAAATGTAAATCCGTTCGGCTTCTCTTCCTGGATTATTTGAATGCCTTTGGAAGCCTGGATAGGTCAAGGTTGCTAAACCTACTATCTGAAAATGGAGTCCACCCTGGTGTGTGTAAGCTGTTACGTGATTATTTTACAGATCGTACTCACTTCACCAAGTTGAACGGTAAGAAATCCTCTGTTCTCCGTGCCCACTGTGGTGTTCCACAGGGAGCAATCCTATCACCTTTCATATTTTCCTTGTGTGTTGAATATTTCCCCATACAAACCACGTTTATGGGTGTAAGTATGCTGATGATGTGCTGGGATGTATGTCTCCCACTAAACAGGATTCCTCATCACTTCAACATGGGTTGGAAGATCTAGTGAAATGGTCTTCATTCAGATCTCTTACGCTTAATGCTTCTCAATGCAGGGATGTAATATTTTCTTTTCTACGTGGCGATAACTTGCAGTCCCTCATAGATTTCTCCCCCACGGTTACTGTGAATGAAAATCCCATACACAGCTCTTCCATCGTCGGGTATCTAGGCGCTTTTTGCCCCAGAACCTTTCTTGGTCCACGCACGTCTGTAAACCTTTTCAAAAAGTCAGAAAAATTTCCTTTTATGCCCTCAGACTTAAGGTGCTTTCAGTACCTCGTACTTTAATATTCAGGTTTGTGACCTCTTTTATTATTCCCCATTGGCTATACTGCTCTCCTGTCATTTCTCTGGACTGCTTCAGAAAGAGTACATCTTATTGGTGCGATCCATAAAGCATATTTCTAGATGCAGCGGCTTATCTAGGGATTCCTTAGTTGCTTTGATCATTTCTAGACATCTTGAGGTTTGTAATGATGTTTCTTATAAGATATTAACTGACCGATTTAATTCAATTCACAATGATCTTTCCAAAACGCTCTCCTTCTCTTCCAGTCGTTCGAAATTCAGAATTTCATACTCCCGCACGTCATCATATCGTAATACTGTTTTCACTTATCTTTCACACTCACTTGTTGACACAGCAAAAGTAACTAACATATTGCGAGAGCGCTTGCTGGAGTAACAGTTCTGCATTTGTCCTAAGTTTCTACCCAAGCAGGTATATTGATATTATCATCCAGGTGTCCGCACTAATGGTGTAAATGCTGAAAATTAACCCATTAGGATTCATAAAGCTTATGTTGACTTGACTAGACTTGACTTGAAGTTCCGTTGTCCGTTACCTAGACACACTTGAGGTAATCACAAATGTGTCATCTGCACATGGTGCATCTGGTTGTGGTGGGGTTCAAACCTGGACTCTAACACTGCCATGACGATGTCAGCCAGCCCCGAACCAAGCCGATTTCCCATAGCCATACTATCTACCTATCTATATACTTGATCCTCAAACAAGAAGCGCACACTGTATGCACATAATGGCAGCACATGCGTGAGACATCCCACTGAAATTGGCAAACCTACTTTGTATTCATGATAAAGGAGCCCAAACATTCCACCCGGAATGCTGGGAAACAGATCCCATCGCCATAGAACAGACTCGCAACATACACAATCAAGTCAAAACTGTTTTTCACATGCAAGTCGCTGCTGTTTGCAGTAGCAGCAGTCCCTCCTGAATCGGAAAGTGGCCCGCATAAAAGGGATCAGATATTTCGGATTGTGCTAACGAAATAAGCAGGAATAAAGTGGCCCGCGAAGCAGCTGGGGAACACCAACACGTCTAAAGATGTGAATTTTCCGCCAGAAAGCACATGTGCATGTCTCGCTTGACACTCACATAGTTGCATTGTAAGGGTTACACCATGTAACTCTTTTCACAATACCATCAAGTCATGCACAACTGACTTCTTAGAAATGTAATTAGGGACATTCTGCTATGCTTAACGCATTCTTCTCAAACAACTGCTGTGGAAGGCGGAAAGGCCTTGTGAGTGTGGATCCTGGTGGTTCCATTTGACACCGCAAGCCACCGTCTGTTCGTTGGGAGCCTTTATGTTGGGATCATGAAATAAGTGGATATCATGCGCGGAATTGTGATTGTTTACCTTTGCTCAATGTGTATTACACGCCTCATGTTTCGGCACCCTTACCTCGGGTACGGTCATCTGAAGCTATTTCTGTTGGCTGTTTTGAACGAACGGCAAGTTTTCGCTACACAAGTGTACTGGAAACGCACATTGCAGAGGTTCGCGTTCAAACAGTACCGTATTCTGATTTGACTTTGGTTCTTGAATTGGTAATGGGGGATACACGTCGCGCAAGACAATCCAAGTATTTCTGCCGCTTATACTCCGCATAACGGTATTTTGATCACATTTCAACTGAACCTGTCTTAGAAAGATTTTCTGAATCCAGCATTGAATTTATGCGCGTTAAGTAGCTTTGTTTTACAATTCCCTTTGGATTGTTGGCGGGAATATCAGAGCAATAGATTTATGATATTAATATTATTAATGATTATAATAAAAATGTTAATAGTAAAATGTTTGGTGTATTAAATATGAAAATAGGGACGTATCGTTTTCTCCGCTGTAGTCCAGAAATCCACTTAGATTCACAGTGTCCATAGTTAATGTCAAATAAACTTCACGGTAAACTCCAGGTGTTGGATGGAGACGTAGTACTAAGTGACAGTGTAAGTGGATGAGCGCGTCATCCAACCGTCTTTTACATACCCTTAGTATCGTGCAGAGACAACTGATTATGGAAAAGCATACTGCGGGTGACAGACACGAATGAAAAAGAAATTTTATAGCACTGCAGACTATTAAATGAAAGGATAGTGATAAGACACCGGGAAAAATCCCTCTCTAGCAAGTGGCCGCAGGCGGGTGTCACGTGCCCTCTATACCCAGCAGCCAGTGCACCTTCTTAGTGTCTGCTTCCATCCTTGCGACTTCCCTCTTCTCTGTCCACGGAACAAGAGTTTGCCACTGACTTCGCCACTAGTGATATCGATGAACATTAATCGACCTTCAAAATAAGTGCATCATTTCTCGTTACTTCTTTTGGCGTCCGCATTTTGCATCCGGTCCGTCAAGATTCATTGATCACGCTTGACTGCTTTGAAATTGATGTACGATGCATATTCAAACGAGGTTTACAAGATAGCCGTTTCACAACGAATCCAGCAACCTTCGATCCTGTGTCTATTGAAAAATACTGCATACCTCGCAGTTCTAGTGTTACTGGATCAATAACTTAAAACAATTGTGCTGCAGATATCACTGTCACCACAAAAGCTGAACAGCTAGTCGAAGGAGGCACCACAAAAGGAGAATCAAAACGGTTCCTTCTTGGTTCCAAGACGTCCGTATACCATTTGTTGTGGATCACATAGTGTTTCCGAATTAAAGGAGCCGGATAACCGTTAACGGTTATCTGAGAATACAGCGCTTTCCAGCCTCAAACGAATCAGCACCAAACATGATACTGGCAAAATACAGCAGTGCATGAACTATGTCCCGTTTCAACTTTGGTTTTCAGAAAGAAACCGTACCCTTGAACTAACGCTCCAATCGGTAGGGCGAACGCGCTTCGGTAACTGAGAGATTGGAATTCGCTCAACACCGGAGACGTTACTACCAGTGATTTCAGATGAATGTAATCAGCTTCGGGGAACACTGGGTGATCAGACATAATTGTTTTATTCAACACAGCGACGGAATAAAAGCTCACTTGTACAAATTCCGTTGACTGGGAGATGGTGAACGTGTAACTTATGCTTTCATTTCGGTATGGTGGGGCGCATTAGAGTCACAGTCACTGTCCTATAAGCCTCAGTGCTTTGCACCCATAAGCTGGCGTTTCATTTTATGGATGAATATGACGCACTTGTACACTTGCTCGTCAACAGTATGGCGATATTGAGGAGAAAAGTGATACGGATTACACCTAAGATAACTGTCTTCTGTTAGGGTGGGCAACATGGCGAGACGTACTCACGCGTGCTCCCATCCAATTTGCAATGTGCCTAAATGGGCTGCCGCTACCACCAAACTTTCGTCCATCGGATGTTGACACACTTACCTGAGTCTCAAGTGAGCTAATGCCCGTTCACTGGCGCGATCAGGTAGCTAAGCAGACGAAAATAGGCTGAATTTAAACGATAATTATGAACCTGAGGAGCATGAAAATAGTCCGATATGCATAATGCTTATTGTTATTGGTACTGAGAAGACAATACGAAATGCATGCATCTACCAGCCTTCGTCTTCTTTCCGGACTATTTAAAACGTTGAAGGGAACTAACTGCAATAAATTCTGAATCTATGATTTGCGCTACAAAGGAAACTGTCAGCAGGGTAGATATCACCAAATCCCCGCGATATCACCAAAGGCAACACAACACAAAGGCCATAAATCAACGTTAATTGGCACGATCAATTGTGCACTTACTCGGATGAACCGTATTCATGTGCTTTCGGAAACCGCGCGCCTCACAAAACGGTATGCCACAATATTCACACGTATAGGAGTGTCGTTCTGCAACAGGGAACCGAAAACTGTCAGTGGCAGGTGAATCGCACATGGAAAACTGATAAAGAATAGCAAATGTTTTGGTAGAAAGGGTGTACCCAATTCTCAGTGCAATAGGATGTCAATGATGGCGCTCAAATTCGTGGATAATTCGTTTATTTCCATAGACAATTTTTTCAATTATTCGGGACCCAATGCCTCTCACTTTCAAGGAGACGAAGAATACTTGGACTGACCAGAGTTGAGATGTTGATTTGACAATGAATGTTGTTACGATTTGCCCGAGTATTTCTACCACGTACACCGTGAATGTGTAAAACTGTAGTCTCTGGCTTCTTCTTTGTATGCTCTTGAATGGAAGCCTTACTGTGCAAGGAACTGCAAACCAAAACATTTGGATTTTTTTTGTACTGTTAGGATGTAAATGTGCGCTTATTTTTATTATACATAATACTTGAATTGAACAACTCTTTGGTTTAAACTCGCTAGCACCTGCTTCTTTTTGTTCAAATGCCTCCCACCATACTTTATTTCTCTTGAAGGGCAATACTCCTAATACTGTTGATGTGAAGAATTTGTCACATATGACATTATAGGCTTTTCCAAATATGAGTGCCATAAAGCTTGATAGCACACCCTCTGGAACCTTTTTCCTATCGGGAGAGACTCGTCCTTACCTGGATATGGAAATGCATTTGTACGGATATTTGGCAACATTCAGGCGAACAGACATAGAGCCAAACAAAAACTATATAAGTCATTGGAAGAATACAGGTTTAATTACCTCATCAACATCATCCAAGCGTAATAGCTGAAGGTGAGCAACACACACTTCAGCTATTGTGCAGTAAGAATAACGAAACGGCCATTGTTATTTTTTCACATAATATTTTCCCTTTTTCAACTGTTATGCATTGATACTTGAAACTATACAAGCACCTACTCAAATCTTCTACTGGTTTTGACTGAGCATAATATCCTTAATTGTTTTGAGCCAAAGGCCCTCTTCATCTTTTGATCCCCAACCAGGTAGACGTGTGAATCCAACGGCGGGAAGACGTAAACTCAACTCTTCATATGCCGACGCCAAGTGGACAGCTGATAATCACGCGGTCTCTTTCAGCCAAGCCCTGCACGAGCGAAAAGGGCGCAAGATGGTAAACTCTCAGCAGACATACATACAACGTGATCAAGCCATCTTAGCTGACGCAGCAAAAACAGATTTTTGACGGGCATACCCCTATCCCTTAAGATAGGACGTCGAACTTCACTATTGGAAATACGTTGCTGCCAACACACAAGAGCAATCCTCTCCAAACACCCATTGCCAAAGTCGAGAGCCGGTGCATATCATCCATGCGAACCGGCCACGACTCACTTTCATATAGCAACATCGCCCGAACGGTGTACACGCATGTTACCAATAGGGAGATATCCCGACGGTGCCACAAGTGCTTCAGGTTGACGAACGCTGACTGAGATTTGGAGATGCGGTGAGCAACTTCTTTCTCAATAGAGCCACCAGCAGACACGCAACCTTCCAAGTAGACAAACCTATGTAATTGTACAAGCTGTGTACCTCCAAGCGTGCGCAAGGGAACGGGTGAGTGACAATCCTGGAACAGCACCTTACACTTCGATGGGGCGAAGCGTAGACCTACCTTAGATGCCTCAAACGCCAAATGACTTAGAATGGTTTGAATGCTCTGTGAGTCGTCACCAAATAAGGCGATGTCATTAGCATAATCTGTCAGTCGCTGCCTAATCCGGCAGTAGGTGTATTCCAAAATTTTCACAACTTTCCAAGGCTCTCGACAGGACATCTTCAATCGCAAAATTGAAGAGAAAAGGGGACATAGAGCAGCCTTGATCTACAGCGCAATGGACAGCGAATGACGTCGAAGCTTGCCACACACCCTCACTTAGCCGGAGAGGTAGACGTAGATTGTGCGTAAGATGGCAGTGTACTATTCTGGTACTCAGTTACTTAGCAAGCAACCATACAGTGCAGGTCGATGAACCGAATCTAATGCCTTACGGATATCAAAGAAGTCAACTATGGTAGGTCTTTGGAAGAGGGGGCGGTGTTCGAGGATTTGGCGGAGCGTGAATATTTTGTCCACGTACCTACGGCTAGGATGGAAGCCAGGTTGTTGCACCCTGCACTGCGATTCACGAAAGGGAGAAAAGCTACGAAATAGAATGGATGCCAAAAGCTCGGAAGCTATCTGTGGTGGGAGCATGAATTACGAGCACCATTCTTACAAATCGGGACACAGTTGATTCGATCCAGAAAAAAGGCTTTTCTTCTTCAAATCAGATTTTGGTGATCAATGAGGTAAGCTGGCTATTGAAAACTGAGCCTCCATCTTTGCAGTGCTCCGGTGGAAGTCCATCTGAGCCGGCAGGCTTAAAGAGTCTTAGATGTCGATTCGCAAGACAAACTTCTGCTTCACTCCGCGGGTCAAGCGTGACTACCTAAAGTACGCAGCTTGCTTCGCAGGGACTAAAAGTGATTGGTGAGGACCAATTGAACTGGGACTGAAACTGTTCGGCCCAAACATCCAAGCGTCTCTGTGGGTTCATAAACTGCGAATCATCAACTTCGCAACTAGTCTCACTTACACCAGCCAACTTTTTGGTCAGGGGATCGGATGAACTGAAAGAGCTTGCGAGAATTGCCAAACAGAACAGCGGCCCCCATTTCTGAGATGCGCTGAGACAACCAGACTACGCGATCACTGCGTTGGCTTCATTTGAACTTCGGACTAACAGGACGGCGCACTTCATTATGGTTGGACTTCGCTGGGATGTTCCTTCGGCGGTCACATAAATCCAAGTAGCGCTTGGAGAGCCAGGCTTTCATAGGGTGCTGAGTAAGACAAAAGACTAACTTTCCGGAAGAGGTCACGGCGCTTTGCATGAACGTTCTGTGTTCATCCAAGCCTTGCGGAGGGTCACAGCTGTGTGCATCCGCAGCTCCGCACAATCCAAGAGGATCACACCTGGCCTCGCTCCCACCTACAGCCAAACGGAGAGGTCACGACCAAGACGTTTACCCAAAACTGGTCCGGTTGGCAGCCCCCTGAGCTTACTAGCCACCTTCCAAGTCACCGCTGACCGCAGGAAGTTCGTCGACTTCCTGATCAATGCACAGCCTGTTCGATTGCAGTTGGACACTGCTTCAGACATCACAATTATCTCCGAGAAACTCTGACGATCCGTTGGCAAACCACCACTCGACTCAAAACTACCATCCTCCCCCAGCGCCTGTGGTGGCCGCTTCCAGCTAACTGGGCAGCTGCAGTGCTCCCTTGTTTAGAGGCGTCATATTCGATGGGATCTGCTAAATCCCATAGGCGAACCTCAACCTGCTTGGTCTCGATTGGTTCGATCACCTTGGCATGGCCGATCTACCACTTCGGGCCATTTGCAGCGCTGTAGCATCTCCGGCAGTATCCATTAACCAAACCGACGACATCACCAGACAATTCACGCAAGTGTTCCAGGATGCTTATGGCCGCTGTACGCGCACTCGCGCCGTGTTACAGCTTGCTCCGGGAGCTCAACCGGTATTTCGTTTAAAAAGGCGGGTACGTTATGCAGCCTAACCATTGGTAGATGCTGAACTCAACGACTTGAAGATATGAGTGTTCTGGTTCGCATGTCCTATGCTGCCTGCGAAGTCCCGATCGTTGTACTCCAGAAACCGAATAGATCCCGATCTCTCCACTGGCCTCAATGCTGTGCTGGAGCCAAACTGCTACCCACTACCATTTCCAGCCGACCTGTTCACGTTGATCAGTGGTGGCAGGTGCTTCGCCAAGATAGACCTGGCAGATGCCTACCTACAGATTGAAGTTGCTCCTGAGTCGCAACCGCTTCTGACGATCAACATACACCACGGTCTCCTCCAGTACACCAGACTGCCGTTTGGTGTCAAGAACGCCCCATCCATTTTCCAACAGACAGCGGAAGGCATGATCTCTGGCATTTCGGGTATGGCTACGTACCTGAATGGTCTCATTACTGATAGCATCTCAGAGGAACTGCGAGAACATCTGGTCATTGTTTTTGAACGGAAACAAGAGTATGGCAGCCGCCTGAGGGTTGCGAAATATCACTTCTTCCTTCGGTCGATCTAGTACCTCGGCTTTTTCTTCGAGGCTAATGGCCGTCATCCTGACCCCGAAAACGTCCGAGCCATTCAACAGATGCCGCCCCCCAAACATGTGTCAAGACTGCGATCCACCTCTGGCTTTATCAGTTACTACAGTGCTTCCTTACCACTGATACATAATGTACGGGCCCCGCTCAATCGACTGTTGCAAAAGGACGTTCCTTGGCAGTGGTCCCCGCATGCGAGAAGGCTCTCGTTTGTTTGAAATCCATGCTGAGTTCTGAGTTGGTGTTGAATCATTACGACCCAACCTTGGCGATTTTGCTCGTTGCTGATGCCTCGGCCTATGGGATCGGAGAAGTTCTCTCCTGTCGCTTCTCAAATGGTTCCGAAAAAGTGGGTATGCATAGTTCACGTACCGGGACGCCTGCGAAGAGAAAGCATGGTCAGAATGAAAATGAAGCCCTGGCCATCGTCTTTGCTGTTACCAAGTTCCATAAGATGCAGTATGACCGGCGGTTCACGCTATTGACTGGTCAAAAGCCATTACTTCCAATCTTCGGTTCAAAGAAGGGGATTCCCGTATACACCGCTAGCCGACTTCAGCGTTGGGCTATCATCCTTCTTGGTTACGACTTCGAAGTCCGCTACTGTCATACTCAGGATTTCGGTCAAACCGACGGACCCTCTCGCCTCAATTGCAAACATGCTACAGAAGAAGACACGGTGATCACCGCTGTTACCATCGAGGACGATGTTCATCAACTCTCGAACGCTATCCAAAGTCTTCCCATTACGGCCGCCGAAATGCGTCGCCCAAATGCTCAAGACCCTGTCCAGCAGAAAGCCGTCACTTACGTTCAGACGCGTTGGCGAAACACTGCCTATCCTGGTGAACCGAAACAACTGTATCAACCTCGCGACTCTTTTTCCGTAGTCAATTTCTGCTGCATGATTACAGACCGACTTGCCGTTCCTTCATGCCTCCGGCGAGCTATACTCCGTCGGCTCCATTCTGCTCACCTCGGTTTGAACAGAATGAAGGCAATCACTCGCAGTTATGTGAGTGAGCCTGGCATTGACAACGACATACAAGCATTGGTTCGCCGCTGCCCAAGATGTCAAGTAGCATCCAAGATGCCACCACACCCATCACCAGTTCCTTGGCAACCGCCAGAAAAACGGTGGTCTCGAGTGCACATCGACTATACTGGTTAGATCCATGGCATTTCCTGCGTGGTCGTGGTCGACGCCTATTCCAAATGACATAAAGCGGTCGCCGTCAACCCACCAACCGCATCTGCCACACTGGGTTATCTACAACGAATCTTCAGTCAGCATGGACGTCCCGACGTCTTATTGTCCGACAGTGTCACCCAGTTTACGTCCTCCATTTTCGAAGACTTTGTCGCCGGCATCACACGCAACACCTATGCTCACCGCCCTAACATCCCCAGTCCAATGGTCAAGCGAGGTTTGTCGACACCTTCACGAGTGCACTTGTGAAACCTCATAAGGAGGAGACAGGGATGAACGCCTTCAGACGTTCCTGCTCGCTTACCGGTCCAAGATGCCAGTCTCCGGCTGAAGCATTGGTGGGTCGCTAGCTATGTATCACAAACGAAGCGCTCATCCCGACAGAAAAGCCACCAAGTCAAGCTACTATCTGCACAAAGCACCCCAGTATACTCTCGCGACTATCGAGGTCATCCACGCTGGATCAAAGCAACAGTGACGGCCCATCGTGGTAGTATGCTACATTAAGTCTCTGTAGGAGACGGCACACAAATTCGACACCAATACCAACCTCGACCGCGACGTGAAACGCTCAGTGAACAATCCAAGTCGGTTACACAAATACTACTGCAAGTCCTCTTGGATACTTTCGGAATCGCAGCGCAACAACCGGTGCCTATGGAAGTCGCATAGCCGACGAAAAACCCAACCGGTCCTCACCGTAGGTCGGAGCACATCCGTCGAAGGACCGAAAGATTACAAATCGACCCGCAACTAAAACGGGATGTTTAACCATGAAAGGGGATGTTATGCGGACCCTACTTTCCCACAATGGTCAGAAGATTAAAGCACGGTAGGCGATGTGCCTCGATTCAGAAAAGCCCACATGTTTCGATTAGCCTTGCAACTAGTGAGACCTTCACGTTTTGTTTGGCCTTTGTACCTCCGAAAACATTCCCGGTTCCGGCCAATCTCCGCAATCATAAAACAGTTAGCCTTTTTACCTAAGCAACCTTCAGTTTTCCGTTCCGGTCTCCGCATCTAACAACATTCACTTTTCAACATGTTCCGTTGGCATATTTGCAAAATATCATTTCAGTTGCTTCCAAGGTTTGCTTATGCAAACCATTGGCACCATCGAGGTATAAAAGAAACGCTGGACTGCACTGTAATCGCCTTGAGCTTGGCCGGTAAGAGCGCCTACGCCAAAGGTCTGTCTTTTTGTCTTGTTCTTTCGGGTTTGGGTAGCTGCGTGTGAAATTGCGTTCGGTCTAGCACCCCGTTAAACCCTCGCGTAGTAACCGTGGTGCGCCTAATCCTCACGGGTCGTACAGCTTCGAATTTTTGGGTACTTTATCTTGCATCAAGTGGTTCCACGCCACATTTGTTCGGCCGACTAGGAGAGTTGGTACCAGATCGTCAGAGCATGGGGCAACCAAGAGGCAGTTATAACAAGGAGTCATTGATTAAGTGTTCAGTTCATGCAGCTTTTGTTTGGTCAATTACCAAACGGGAGACAAATCCTCGACATGAAGTCAGCACAATTGCTGGAGTACAATGCCCCACCGAGGTGGAACACTACCGCCGAACACTTCGCTGGAATGGGGTACATCCGAACCACCCAGCTGACACAACGAGGAGGTAGTTCGGCAACGCAGCCATCCGGATACGTGTTGCTTGCTGTCCACTTCTGCTAGAAGCCGAAACTTGATTTCGAACGTCTCAGATTTGTTGGTCACGAACCGAAGAAAAGGACAGCGGGTTTTCTTGGAAGCTAATTACTTATCGACGGTGAGTTTCCGTGCTTTCATATAGCGCTGCTGAGAGTTGCGAACAAATGAATTATACGATCAAAAAATCAAAGCAGACTTGTTAGTCTGCAGTCATTCATCTGTGGTAGTTCGCATAGCAAAACGAAGAGACTTCATTGTTTCCTTGAATCCCTTCTTGTTAATGGCCTCCCTGAAATCAGGCAGTGACTATTTATTGCACTACAGCATATTCGAGGGAATGCACTTCAAGCCCATAAAGCCTCTGATGTAAATTAGTGCGAAGAAAGCACGTAATACAGGAGCACTTAAGTTTCACTGACAACTGACTGCTTAAACTCTCTTAACATCAGCTTCAGCGCACATTTGAGTGTGTTTCGGCATCTGGGATGTGATTATAACATCATAGCTAAGCGTAGGCAATTGGTCTTGGAGATGGCGAGAAGTGTTCACGCGCGCTCCCATCCAGTATGCAATGTGCCCAAATGGGCTGCCGCTACCACCAAACTTTCGCCCATCGGATGTTGACACACTTACCTGAGTCTCAAGTGAGCTAATGCGCGATCACTGGCTCGATCGGGTAGCTCAGCAGACGAAGACAGGCTGAATTTAAACATTAATTATGGACCTGAAGAGCATGGAAAAAGACCGATATGCATAATGGTTATTATTATTGGTACTGAGAAGACAATACGAAATGCATGCATCTACCAGCCTTCGTCTTCTTTCCGTACTATTTAAAATGTTGAAGGGAACTAGCTGCAATAAATTCTGAATCTATGATTCGCGCTACAAAGGAAACTGTCAGCAGGATAGATATCATCAAATCCCCGCGATATCAACAAAGGCAACACAACACAAATGTCACACATTAAGGTTAACTGGCACGATCAATTGCGCACTTACTCGAATGAACATTTTTGAAGTGCCTTTGCATACTGGCTTTCAGAGCAAATGATGTGCCACAATATTCACATATATGGGAGTGTTGTTCTGCAACAGGGAACCGAAAACTGTCAGTGACAGATGAATCGCATATGGAAAACTGATAAAGAATAGCAAATGTTTTGGTAGAAAGGGTGCACCAAATTCTCAGTGCAATACAGTGTTATTGATGGCGCTCAAATTTGAGGTTTTACCGTGTAAGATGTTGACTATCATTGTTCGAAGACTTAGTGACTTGAAGGATAAAGACGTACTAAAGTAAGTTAACAGTCCATCGGTGATTGTGATGACATGGTCGCAGTAGGTACCAAACGAGGTATCCAATCTTTCATTCTGATGGAACGAAATCGGCCCTCAGGTGATAACGGAATCAGCTCAATTGGAATCAGAAGTGTACTGAGCGCTGGTAGAGTTTGGAAGCTTCCGACTACGTTCGTAATAGTATTTAGCGAGCAATTCCGGGTTGCAATAGTACAAAATCGCTTAAATATCACACCACATTTTGGCCAAACGATAAGCAACTTTCAAGTGGCATTTGGTGTACTCGCTGTGTGGTTGGATTGCGACTCGCAATCTCTATTCAGATCTCGGTCCTAAGTGGACCTCGGTCATTACGATCACAAGGACCGTAACCGAATTGGTGGTTCGGTGTTGCTCCTCCCAACCCTGAGACCCCATGACCGGTTTCCTCCTCCTTTGGACTCATCAGATGGAGATACCCTGAGCTGGGGTGGACCAACTTTGTGCATTACTCAGGTTGTTCCTATAGAAAGCTTAACGGATGTTTGCGGAACTCCGCCTAAAAATGTTACGAGATTTCTGACGAGGTCGTCTTGGTATCGGACTGACGAAAGGTTTGCTCGAAGCTTCCTTTATTGGCCAAAACTCCATGCATGGCTCATCAATTGGTGAAGATAGATCCAAGATGCGTGTTTGTCAATAAGTCGCCCCTAAAAACAGAATTATTTGGCCCTCAGCGACGAAACTCTGGGAATGCGTATATGCCCATTACTTTGGCCAGCGAACGGGCAACTATTCCTCGTCGTTGTGTAATCTAGCAGTAAATGACATGAGTTTGGCGAGGAGCATGCAACCAGTGGTGCAACCATCAAAGTACTGCGAAGTCTTTTAAGCCAGCAAGGAAAATCGGATCGTTTGCTCACGGACAGTGGTTCCCAATTCACCACTTCCTATCATTTTGAACATTGCATTCAGCCTGGTACTACGCGTTTGCGTTCAACCCTGCACCACCTCCACTGAAATAAACAAGCGGAACGTTTTTCTGATTGGTTCAAATGGATAACACTGGAAATATGAGGAGAGTGGAATACCAGATAATTATTGGATATTTTCCTGTTTATGTACAAATTAGCCCCAACCTCCAGGTGGCAAACAACAGAGGCTCCCTTTGGAAGGAAAATTAGAACTGTTAACTGGTTGCTGCCGCCGTGGAGTACTGTTCCGCAGGAAAGAAATGTGGTATTACATTGGAGGAAATAGAATCCAAGTAGGGCAGTTTTACTCACGTTAGAATGGTCTTGGTCGGAGACGATGGAAAGCCACTAGGGACAACAGACTGGTTTCAGTGCAGAATAGGAAAAGTGATCTACGAAGTCAAAGAAAGTGATTTCATTTAGATCAGACGTGTAAATTATTTGATGTCTATTAGTATCCGTGAGAGCACAAATAACCGGTCCCTACCACTTGATCTTCAATTGAGAAGCATCGACATACGCCATAGATCGCCGGGCGTGTCTGACGAGGACTGTGCAGCAGCCGCAGGATAAAACCATTTTTAACCAAGGCGTTGCGCTGGCCGGATCCGGAGGACAGTTAAACGTTTGCATGTAAAAACCCAAGAAAAATCTTATGATTAACACTTCTTTCTGCGGGAGGAAGGTGTCTATTAAATATACGAACGCATAGTGGCTGGTGCACGGAGAAATACTTCAAGTTTGGTAACTGCACAACAACGGAATGTGGAGTTGTTCAGAAAGTCAGTGTTATTTTCCAACAAGGGACCATTTGTAAGCAGTAGAGGATTATATCGAGTAATTTATGAAGATTCGTCGCATTTAGACACAGACAGACAGTCATGGCTCAATGGTTTAAATTGCTGGCTAGTTGGCATCAGCCAGTAGCGATCATGGGTTCGATCCCCAGTAAGAGATCGAGGGAATGCGCACCACTGACGAGTCCCAATAGGGCGAAACGCACCTACCGCTTTTCTGCATGTGTACTGGCTGTCTACATGAGCTTAACTGTAACGAATCTGCAAAAATACACAGACCATGTTTCCTATCGCGTATTCAAAGGCGAAACTATATGAGGGTGTACACTTAAAACCGCTGAAGTGGTGGACAAAAGGGAGTCGGGAGAGCGCTCGCCAAAAAGGACACAATTCATAGTAAAACACTAACCGTAGCACAGCGGAGCTATAGATGACTTTTGCATGAGGTTTCAAAGGGCAGATGGGCTGCAACAGCGAAAACCCACCTCCAGACATCTTCCCCTGAAGAGAGTGGGTCGATACCAGTGGAAAGCAATAGTTCGCGTAGTTCAGTGGCAATGCAGTATCGCTGCGGCGATGCAAATGTTATAGTAATATGTATATGAAAGCCTGTCATGACATGCTAAGTGTGTCCGAGTGCCGGGCGATACCCAAGAACAGCACCAAGTACATTACCTGGGCTACTGATACCACACCCCACAATTATCTGAATTAGTCAACTCAGCGCGATCAGAGTTGTACAGAGACTAAAAGTCACAAGGCGGACAAACCTGGACACCTCATATCATCATCCACAATACCTTGTACAACAGACATCGAAAATTAATTTTTGCTTGATTTCCAACATATGTGCCACCGAAAACTGCATGCAAATTTAGCGAGCTGCACGGACACAACCACTGAAAAACGGATAACGCAGAGGCCCATAGGAACAGCGAAAAATGATTTGTCCATGCTGAGCCGAAACATATCACGGTTTGTAACAGAAATAGCAATGGCACTAAACCTTGTAGATTCACCCGCAAATGAGCATATGCCATTTGGGCGTCGCACTGTAGAGCTATCAACTGTCACATGATGCGTTTGTGTGAGAAAGTGGCAACCAGTTAAAGCAATTGTAATTGGGCGTTTGGTAAACAGAAAGGCTGTTCGCGGCAGCTATTCAGCCGTCGGGATCAGATGACCCCAGAGGGATTAGTGGGCTCCAGGAATTTCGGACACGTAAAGTACCATTCGGTGCAGTAACTATCACGTGACGTCCACAATCAGCAGTAAGGTACCATTGCTGAGTTTGATGTGCCGCAGTTAATACAACATCGATTTATCGGGGGCAAAAATAATAATACAGTAACGACCCCACGAAAGGGTGCAGATGAGAATCTGAAAGCGGAGTGGAGCGCACCAACAAAACAAAACGCCTCTATTGTTTAACACACGCGTGACTCGCGTGTTCCTGTGACATTTGTATGATTCTCCTCTACGCTCTCTCCCTCTTCTTGAAGTGCTGTCACAGTTCTCTCATACGAAGTGGATGTATTATCCGTACACAGTTATCCATCATCCGTGAAATTATCTTCCATAATTAAAGTCTGTACCAGCTTTAACCGATTTGACCTTCATCCGTCATTAATCGCAAGCGGATAACAATCACATTGTGCCGATTACCTTTCGAATACCTTTCGATACAGATTTCTCGAGGCAGTCCGAAAAAACTAAGCTTATTCCAGTCCGACTTTTCTCAACGCAACTATGAAGGAATTGTGATCTCTCAATCTGTTTTCTGCCCTGTGTTCAAGTCCAGTCAGCAGGTTCCAGTCACTCGCGGTTCCTTGTGACTTTGTCAGCCAGTGCGCCTGCATAATCCAGCACACGGACAGCGTGACCACGCCGACCGCTCACTTGACCTTGTAACCTCAATGCTCTCCTGACCGATGTGCGCCGCTATCAAAGCTGGAAACGTACATAACGTCGAGCAAACCACTGAGGCAGTTAACAACACCAGGTTGGATGGCAGAAACACAAATCCGCAAAGACTCCAAGCAAAAGGCATTTGCGGGTTAGGAGAAGCTAAGCGATTGGTTAAAATAAGTTTAGAATGCTCGCGTTGTTTGGAATAGTATCAACCGAAACGTGCAAACGAGTCGCAACAACAGGTCCAAACACGAAAGAGCTCATAAGATGTGCTTTGGTGCTGTACTGTGTGCTTGTCCATTCCGTTCGTCAAGTGTATGCTTATCCTAGTCCGGAAGTGCGAGCGGTTAAATGCAGAAGCTGAGCAGCGGATGAAGAATAAAATTACTTGCATGGAAGCAAGTGTACACCAGGAAGCGTAGAGGCTTGTTAGCAACGGAATGCTGTACAAGTTGCTTCCCCTGAAACGCAATCAGCCGCGTCCTCATCACCGTTTTCTTCTGCAAATTTGGTAGAACTGAAGGCGAAAACTGAGCGTAGCTACGACAGTCCACGAAAATCAGGCACCACTCCAAAGGTCTAGTTAACTAAATTCCAAGAGATCTGACATCGAACATAAATAAGGATGGAGTAGCCGAAGACGAACCCACCGTACCTGCGGCGCAAATGCCTCTTGTCGAGACAAAAACCCCGCGGGACATCAGTTAGACATGCAGAGATTGCTGCAAAAGTCAGCCGCGAGGACGCCGTTGCGGCCTATTATGCTGTAAACACGGTTAACGCGAATAGAGGGATAAACAGTAAACCATCAACAATAGTCAGCAGGTCAGGAATATCGATTATCTTACCATGTAGATCAACGAAAAAGGAGTCCAGCGCTAGTGTCCCAGATGTTATGTTCGCAAATGTCCTCGAACCTACAGTCATCAGATTGCGATTTAACTTATCGGACGAACAAGACCAAAGGAACTCATTGAGCGAGCTAATGAGTGTCAAAGCCAAACCCATAAAGCTATTACGAATTACTCCTCATCCGACCTGGCCACACTATGGAGAACTCGGACTTCGTCGAGTGACACTAGAATCCTCCACCGATGTAGAAAAGGTTTTACTGTCTTCATGGGAG